TTAACTGTGGTAAGCTGACAATGGACAGTTAGTGAAGTGATGTCATCCTGTAACTTCCTGTAACGCCGGTCAACCGCAAGTACAAATTTTCTAAGGAAGTCGATGTCAAGTATAGGCTTCTGGACGTCCACGATGGTAAGAGCGAAAGAAAACTTTTAGCGCAAGTCAAGGCTTAGAATAAAGAGCTGCTGACCCTAGGTCGCTATTTTAGTTCGGTTAGTTGCCTGTAAAGTGAGTCCAGCTAGTTGCAGAGCGCGTTTTTCTAAATATCAGGGTATAACGCTTATTTCTTATATTGACCAAAAATGATGCTTAGTCATAAAGTTGAACATTTGCGAAAGGCAACTGATGACTTGGTCAGCGACAGTTGTCACCATTACTGACTGATTTTGGCGGATGTTGGTTGCGAAATCGTAAATGCTTCCGGGTATTTGCCACCCGGACGGCAGTTACGTGCTGCTTTGCCGAAACAATGGAAGTAGAAGTATGGTCGTTGCTGTAGTGAGCGTGATTTGCTGCGATGCGCCCTTCGAGAACTACTGTTTATAACTTACCTGGCCCCTAAGATCGGCGGACATGAAGAGGCTACTTACGTTCGACCATCGGTGCCTTCGCAGTTTGGCTCACATCTGGTGGGAACACCGCGTGAGTAACGAGCGTGTTCGACGCCTTGTTTACGGCCTAGGAAAAGGGAATGAACCGCTCAGCACCGTCATTTCACTCACCAGGCTCCGATGGCTGGGCCACGTGTTGCGCATGCCAGCCCACCGACTCCCTCGACGTGCGTTGTTTGCTCACCGGGGATGTGGGTGGAAGAAGAGGTGGCCAAGCGATGACTTGGTCCAGAGGAATGAAGGCCCTCACTTCGGAGCTGGCCTCAGTTGGAGCTTCACGGCTCCCTGGTTGGGGTCCGAAAGACGGTGAACACGTTTGGCTGGATACACTTGCTGATATGGCAAGGAGCCGACCTCAGTGGCGTTCCTGCTGTGAGTTTCTTTGTCCCTCCCCATCCCTTTAGCCTCCTCCTCCATCTACGATCTTATCTCATAGGGTAAAACGTAATTAAATTTTTGTTTTTGCCTAGTAGCCGGCTAGTATCTTACCGGAACGATGCCTATCCGTTGCTGGTAGCTCAGCTGGCATTCAACTGTCGTATTTATTTTTCCTTTATGTATTGTATGTATGTATGTATTTCCTTTATGTATTGCGGTACGATAGCGGATGTGTTTTACCATCTCTAGCTGACATGTATAATGATGATGATGATGATGATGATGTTTATAACTTACGTTTGATAGCAGATATACCAAGTTCCAAACTGGAGAGGCTGTTGTAGATGGAATCAAGTGCGGTGCTATACTATAGGCTAGGTGTGACAGATTCGGCCACATGGTCTAGAGTATGTTTAAAGAAATACTCATGCACCTTGTCAGCAGCTTCTGCGAGTTTTGCAGTGTAAGATCGTCACCAAGAATTGGAAGAGTCGCTGTTGTGTTGGACGGAAGGTACCTAGTCCAGAGTTGGGGAAGTATGGAGTTGTGAAGTTTTGACGAACCAACAAGGGAATGCATGTATCGCACGAGTTGAGATGGATTGCGGTCACCAAGCTCGACAGCAGAAAGCAACTGCTGCAGATCTGCTTCACTAGATGCAGTGGTACGCTTCGGAATAGCTGCGTTTGCGATATGCTGAGGCCGTGGCCATCAAACAACGGCCCAACTCTGGTTGTGCAGGAAGATGCATTTGTGACCCTTGGCTCTGCCATGCTAGCGAGCCGGGAACACATAACAGTGACAAGTGTTAGGTTTGGTCAATTTGTCATTTCAGCCGCACTAATTTCCTGAGGTTTAAAGTTCACACATCTGTAATGCGCATTTGAAAATCATTCTAGTATGTTTCTTCGTCACTTCAAACCAAACGCACAAAGGATGTCATGATAGAATTGAGGACGCGAAAAAAAATGCGAAGCACTGATAGTCACTACAGATCTCGCGAATGTTCTACTAGTAATACCACAGGACCGCAGTTTGTACAAAAGATAAGAATGCAGAACAGTGTCAAAAGCATTGGAAAAGCTAAGGAATAAAACATCCAGTGGTTTCCCACGATCAACTACCTCGGTCCAATGTTTGGCAGCCACCCACAGACTAATATGACAGCAGAAACCCTTACAAAAGCCGTATTCAGAGGAGCTGAGCAACCCAAATGCCTTCAAACGGTTTTTAAGGACACCCACAGATGTTACCAAAAGCGTGGCCAACACGCTGGCCAAACTAAAACAGGCCATACAATAGCCTTCTAGCCGTTAGGTAGAAAACAGCTGCGCAGAGATTTCTCAAAAATTTTCGGAATCCGACACCAAAGCTCAACTGCTAACTTATACGACGCTTTCTGATGAATAGCATGAACATGTTTCGTAGGGCTTGAAATATCCGGGTGGTTACTCCAATCATGTAATGTATATGGTCTTGTGTAACTTTGCTGTTAGTTACAGCAGGAAGGCATATAAAGGAATGTCGAGGGGCATGTTTCACTGTGCTATCCACCATTCCATTTGGCACTCTGAAGGGTGCATACTCGAGCAACTTCGAGAGGCAAATTTAACACGCACTTATCACTGGATACGGTGCATTACATGGTTTTTCGATCAAGTGCTTCGCTTTGCCAATGATCTGGTGTTTATGCATCTGGATTGTAATATATATATATATATATATATATTATATATATATACCACTTACTAGTGAAACTATGGGAGCAGGAAACTATCCCAACCGACTGGAGCCGTTCCGTCATAGTCCCAATTTTCAAGGGAGGCTCACGATCGGAATGCGGCAACCATAGAGGAATCAGTCTGATCTCTATCGCCACTAAATTGCCTGCCTCTATAATCCTTCACAGACTGACTGGCACGCGTGAAAGCCAGATTCGTGAAGAGCAAACTGGATTTCGTCGAGGTCGTAGCTGCAATGACCACATCTTCACCTTGCGTCAGTTGTTGGAGCATCATCACATATATTGGCGGCCCACCGTTGTTGTGTTCCTCGATATCAAAGGTGCATTCGATTCGGTGGATAGACATGCACTTTGGGACTGTCTACTCAGTCAAGGTGTACCTGAGAAATATGTAAATATTATCCGAGCATTATATGCGCGTAGCTCGGGCAGAGTGAGGGCTTACGGTAAGTTGTTGTCGCCCTCAATATCTCCAGCGGTGTGAGACAAGGATGCCCGCTGTCATCTTTCCTCTTTAACTTCGCTGTTGATAATACCATGGAAATCGCGTTCACAGGACACGAATTAGATGGTGTGGATCTGATTCCAGGAGAACGACTTCTTGACTTAGAGTATGCTGATGATATAGCCCTAATCTGTGACAGCTCACAAACGTGCCAAGCGGCACTGGACAGATTAGCACTAGCTGTCCGTCACTTCAGGCTTTGCTTCGCACCCTCGAAGTGCAAAACGTTCCTCCAAGATTGTTCTGCACCGCCTCCTTCGCTGACCCTTGGTGGGGATCAGCTAGAAGTCATTCAGAAATTCAACTACCTGGGAAGTTGTATAAGCGTCTGGGGGATTGAAGATGAGATCACGAACCGTATAGCAAAAGCTCGGGGCGCTTTTGCTAACCTTTGCCGCTTATGGCGCCGGCGTGACATCACTGTTGCCCTGAAGGGTAGAGTGTACAATGCAGCGGTACGTTCAACCCTACTGTACGGTTGTGAAACCTGGCCTCTTAGATCAGCGGACATAAAGAGACTAGTTACGTTCGACCACCGGTGCCTTCGCAATTTAGCTCACATCTGGTGGTAACACCGCGTGAGTAACGAGCGTGTTCGACTCCTTGTTCACGGCACACGAAAAGGACCGTCATTTCACGCACTAGGCTCCGATGGCTCGGCCACCTGTTACGCATGCCAGCCCACCGACTCCCGCGACGTGGGTTATTTTCGCGCCGAGGGTGTGGATGGAAGAAGAGGAGGGGTGGCCAAGCGATGACTTAATCGAGAGTAATGAAAGCCCTCACTTCTGTGCTGGCCTCGGTTGGAGCGTCTCGGCTCCCTGGTTGGGGTCCGAAAGACGATGAACACGTTTGGTTGGACACACTTGCTGATATGACTAGGAGCCGACCTCAGTGGCGTTCGTGCTGTGAGTTTCCTTGTCCCACCCCATCCCTCTTAGCCTCCCGCTCCAATCACGATCTCACTATTTAGCCTTATAAAATTTTGCATAGTACATTTTTTGATGCACAGTAGCCGGCTGGTAGCTTATCATAACGATGTCGATCCGTTACCGGTAGCTCAGCCGGCTTGCACCAGTTCCGTTACTTTTTCTCCTTTTTCTATGTATTGCAACACAGTAGCTGAGGTGTTTTCCACCTCTGGCTAACGTGTATGATGATGATGACTCCTCACACAATAAGTCAACTAACGCTGTGCCCCATGTTTTGTATGCTTGCATTCAATTTCTGTTTTACATTATCGCTATTCAGCAACGCGTTTAACTCGGGAGACGTTTAAACAGAGGACTCGCGTATATTTTGATCTTGTAGTTTTCACCCTGACTATTGTACTGCACTTGCTAAACACCTGCTTTTTTACCTGTGATAAATCATTGTACGTCAAGGTGGTCGATCTCTGTCATCGGTTGGGTTTAGAAGCGGTTGGAAACCAGTCTGCTTATAACCTGAATCTTTCATAAGTTTGGAGGTCAAATACTAAGAACGCCATCAGCAGTACGCCGGCACTTCTTGCCGTATGTTCCTTGCCATTCGATCACAAATAGTCACGCGAATGCTGGGTGTACCGTGAGGTCGCCCGAACTTAGGCGGACTCGAACAGGCGACTTCTGGATTACAAGTCACTGGCCGACGAATACAGGGGAAATCTAGTCTGCGACATCTCACAATGTCCTGCTTGCGGAATGAGGTCCATACCAATCAGGGAGCGATGATGAATAGCAACGTCGGGGAGATATCGAACGCAGTGCTCCCATGGATGGAGAATGATACAATTCTTGAACATTTGCCCGATCTCAATGAGTGCGTTGGCCTTAGGTGTTTCTGACGCTAACCGTTGGCAAGTCCGTAGCGTTAGGAATTGAAACAAAAGGTGTACAACAGAGAAGTTGTACTGTAATTTAAGTATATTCGAGGTGTTTTCTATTTCTATTTACTACCTTGGCTCTCGTAACCAACAGTAACGTGCCACTTTGTAGGGCTCAGCGACTGTCCGTCATTCGCACGAATCGAACTTCTAGCGGACCAATTGGCGCGGGACTTGCCCGATTTCAGAGTCACAAAGTTTATCAAACAACCTTCTGAATGGAAGGCAAGTCAGTGATCTCACCACTAACATTATCCAGGCGTTCATCCATTGGATTCGCGAGAGACACGGCTGGGTCGTAATGAAATCTCCCGTTGTGTGGAGGGAGCTGGTTGACCAGGGCGGAGAGGGCACCCTCATTGGTGGAGCGGATGAGTTTCAAGAATATGTAGCGGCTTATTATGATAGATATAGCCAAATGACTACCAACGAGATGATGAAAGTTGCCGAGGATAACACGCGGTTTAAACAGGAAGAAGTGAGAGAGAAACAGGAGGAAATCGCCTTACGAAGTGTACCTTCTAGCATTTTGATTTTCGGCGCCAGTTCGCCTGCGGCCGTACATCTCCTGCCTTATTTGGCAAAATATGGCATGTTTCTTCCTCAGAACCCTATTTCCCTGCACCTATATGATGAGGATGAAAAAATGGAGTCACTTATTGAAATAAAAGAAGCTTTGGTTGACTTAGCTGCGCCTATGTTGGAGGAAGTGAAAATAGTCACAAATCTGGCCACGAGTCTAGCAAACGTCCAGCAAGTAATCTTTTTGGATGTGATCCCAAGAATCCAACTAGCAGACTTTGGGAAGTCTACTGCGTCGCTCACAAGATCTACTACCACAGCCACAGAACTTCGAGACTTTGAACCTCGACAGGATTGGCTTAGGCGTAGATACGCATTTTTTGCCTCAGTTGGTCTGCTCATCAAAGCCAATTGTCAGTCTTCTGTGCGCATTTTGGTGTGTGGTAACCCTGGGATGGACTCACAATCGATGAATGCGGCCACGCCAGTGAATTTTGATGTCGCAGTGCTACACAAGATTATATCACCAGAGATACCCGCAAGACAAATTGTTGGACTGTCAGGTCCTATCGAGCAACGCGTCAAAGCCGTTCTGGCCACCAAAGTACAAGTCCACAGCCACGAGATTACCGACGTAATAATATGGGGTAACATCGGGGCCAGAATTTACATCGATCTAAGCCGATCGCAAGTTTATCGCAGGCGAACATCAGATGCCGGACTAGTCGCTGGTTCCTGGTTTCCTCTGCCAACTGTGGGGGCGGTTCGGGAGCTGGATTGGTTAAGCTACGAGATGCAGACAGAGGTGTCTACAAAAAGAACCAAAAGCATCCGACAGTACATCGGTTTGAGTCACGCCCAAGCAGTAATCCGTCTTCTTCAGGGGTGGTGGACCGGTAGTGTGAAGGATAAAGAAAATATTTACTCACTGGTGGTTGTGTCAGAAGGTGAGTTTAGAGTGGCTTATGTCTGTGTACTCGTTCATGATGACCAGCAAAACGAAAATTTTATTATATTCGTCACAAGCTACCCCGCTCAACCACAGTCTGGAAAAACACCAGACGCGTTTCACCCTATTTGGGCTCGTCAGTGGTCCCCTACTGGGAATCGCACCCATGGCCGCTAGAAGCTGATGCCAACTAGCCAGCAGCTTAAACCACTGAGCCATGTGGGACAACGGCTGGGCTACATGATTTGGAAGCTAACTTGGATATAGCACGACCTATTTTCCACTGTCACGCAGATTCCTACCTTTGCAAATGATAGTGGCTGGCCTCCGTAGGTCATGATTTCCTTTCACTGGACGCTACGTCCATAGCATTTGAAACAAGGAAAGGCCACATTTTCTATTACTAATGTGTAGATTTTTATATGTAATTTTAATGTTTTCGTCCCATCTGCTCACAGACTACATGGCATAGCTTAGTCCGGAAAAGCACCAGACTCGTTTCGCCCTATTTGGGCTCGTCAGTGGTGCGCACTCCCTCGGTCCCCTACTGGAATTCGAACCCATGGCCGCTAGAGGCTGATGCTAACTAGCCAGTAGCTTAAGCCACTGAGCCATGTGGGACAGCGACTGTGCTACATGATTTGGAAGCTAACTGGGATATAGCGCGACTATCTTCCACTGCCACGCAGGTTACTACCTTTGCAGATGATAGGGGCTAACCTCCCAAGTCATTACTTCCTCTCACTAGATGCTACGTCCATAGCATTTTTAAACTAGGAGAGGCAGTGAACTTAGTATTTTCGATAAGGCGAGAGAAATAGAACAACATCAGCAGTACGCTGACACGTCATGCTAAAGTTTCGGTGCCACTGAATCACCACAAATGGCTTGCAAGTTAGAGATACTGCTAGGTCGCCTACGCCTACACAGGACAGAACCAGTGGTTTGTGGGAGGTTGCAAGACAGACGCTTTCTCCACTAGACCAACAGTAAGCAGAAATCAACGTTCAACCCGGTCTCCCATTGCATAAAGGTAAACCACGATGTATTAGATCAGACAGCAAAAGAATAACGAAGCGATGGTCTACACGTAACTAGTCAAGAATAAAAAACATCCAGTGAGTGCGCGGTCACGGTTTGACCGAGTGTTTAGCGAGAGCCTAGAATGCGGTTCTAAAAGGTAACTGGATGCACATGGACAATTATTTTATGTACAAAATAGCTCCGTGCTGCTCTAGCTACAAAAGTAACACCGATGAGACTTCCAAGGGAGAGGAACGTAGACAAGCAATACACGTCACAGTCGCGCAATTGAGACCAGCTGGGGCACCGAGAAAAAGTGAACGCTCGGTTCAAATAAACGAACTCAGCACTTACAGGCATATGAGAATATAGGTCCAGCAGCATCCTTGTTTGTTGCATCAACGAGCGACTGATAGAAACCGGACACGTTCTCTCTAAACTAAACCCTTCCAATCAGTACGCTGTGTAGGAGTGCAAGAGTCCATGAGACTGCGCGTAGGGTGTGTCACAGTTGTCTCTCTGCCCCTTTTGTCGGGCCGCATGTGAAGTGGAGACTCGACTGCAAACTGCATCGTCTGACGGCCACTCTGGCGCGGAGACTCAGCCGAACTCATTATCCAAAGCACACCATTACCTGACTCCGATACAACTGCGGGCTGTAAGGTAAACCACTAACGGAGGAAAGTGTGAGGGCAACGAGCGCTGACCTCACCAGTGTAGGGCGACGCTGGTCACAAAGTACACACACACACACACGGCAGTCAGTTATGACTAGGCGAAGTGACGAAATTGTTACCATTGGTTTATCGGATCAATAGCTGGGCGATGGATCATGAGCATATACCGCCGTCACCAAATTACCCTCAATCCCAATCGTGTCACGTGCCGGTTGATCAGCGAGTGCATATTTTTCGTCTGTATGGTGCGCGCGGGTGAGAAAATTTGAGAAAACTGGGAGCGTTTGGGACGCTAAAAAGACAGGGTTGTCTCGCATCACCACGGATGACCTTACTGCTTGAGTGCTTATTCGTGAGGTATCCAGAAGCTGCGAACTGAGAATTCGTAAACTCTCCCAGCATTGCGACACCACCAGATTTAATGTCTATAGGATTTTGAAGGCAAGGAAATTCCGGAAGTTTAGCGCCCGTCAAGTGCAGATTTTAAACCCATGTGATTCTGAGATTCGGCTTGATTTTGCCGCAGACTTTTGAGTACCACGGACATCTCTTCATGGCATTTTACCCATGAGGCTGTTTTCCGTTTGCACGGTGCGGAGAAGCGACAATTTTAAGCAACGTGTAAGCTACGCCGATACAGCGCTTCACGTTTGCAACATGGTGCAAAGCTCATGTTATGGGCTAGATTAACTGGCCAGAGAATCGTGGGACCATTTTTGTTTTCCGGTAATGTGACCGGCAGGTCGTTGTTTCGCAGTACGAATGCCTTACGCTTTCTAGTATCCTCGTACAAGGAATTACTGCACAATTGTGTCATTCCGGAACTGGCAGCCACCGGGTCATTAAGTACCATTTGGTTGTAACACGATGGCGCACTTGCTCACTACGCACAAACGGTGTCGGATTTTCTCAAGCAGTCGTTCGCATGCAGTTGGATCGAGCGGGGAGGACTTATAACTTGGTCTACGCGGTCACCAGATTTGGACCCATTTGATCTCTTCCTCTGGGGCTACTTGAAACGACGGGTTTACAAAACGAAACCGAATTCTCTTGAGGAATTTAAGCGGAGAATTTTCCACTAATATCTCGGGATTACAGGTGGTACCTAGGAACAAGTGCTAGCAAACGCTGCCAGGCGATTGCTGTACCGTACGCAAAATGCTGGCGGGCGCTTTGAACCTAACTTTGCTGACAGATCTGTGCATTACATTGATAATCTCTAAGTATATGTATCATGCAACGATTTATCGACTGGATTCGTGCGCTGGCTAATGCTCTGTTTTTCTTAGGAAAGTCAGTTGATGATTTCTACTATGGTTTTGCGTAGGCCTGTCGTGTTATAAATAGCTCGGGATATCCGTACTCCCGTTGGTTGCCCCCAACTTGAAACCTTTTTCCCAGAGTTCAGTTTCTCTATCCCATCAACTCAACGTGAGAGAATAACAGTCGAGGCGCATTTTATGCATTTGAACGGACATCTGCCAAGTTGAACACATACCAATGAGGAGAGAAGCGGTTGTTTCACAACTATGAATGTATACCTTGCCAGACAGCCCTGCACTGGTGATACCGAAAAGTGACGTACCCTGACGAAGGGGCATTGCGAGTCTTTAACGCAGTAGCTACGCAATGAAAGGTTGTAATACTGAGACAAGATATGTGAGCAGTTGTCGTCATAACGGAAAAACAGGGCTACGTCCAGGAAATGCAAAAATTCTCAAAGTCTAGCCGATTCATTCGAAATGTGACAGGTAGTGATAAAATCGAACAGGTTATGAAACCAGACTTCGTGAACTACAACCCCTAACGACGGTGGGATGGAATCACGCACAATCTTTGACACAGCCGAGCACTTGAGCATTTCGGCTTTCTTATTTGTAAGGACTGCCCAAAACTCACAAGGGAGGCATCCATGTTACCAAGTGCTTTAAAGGCAGACGCACCGTATCAGAAGTTTGCCAAATGTTTGACCAATATAATCGAGCCTATCCTAAGGGAACTAGCAGACTACAGCGTTATAAGTACATGACACAGTGTTCCCTTTTCTAACTAAATATAGATGGGATTGCTCACTGACCTTCAGCAAAATGCGTCATCATTGTGGATTCTAATTCCAAGGCCGTCACTTCACAGAAATACATTGCAGGGTATCCGTTCAGAGAACCGAGTTTAGGGAACTGCGTTCAATATCCCAACGCGTTTTGATAGTGGACGATGTAGGTGCCTAAAGGACTGAATTTGGGTGAGCCTTTCAGGGTTAGCTAATCCGGAGGAAGAAGTAAGATCGTGGACAGTCCAAATAACTGTAATATTGGCTAATTGTTAAGCTATTTACTCCCAAGATATTGTTCCGGTTGAGCTTTACAACGTTTCGACATACATGACTGCGACCACGCATTATTTTGTATAACATTATGAAGTCTCCCCGTAGTGTCCGCTGAGCAATCCGCCTCTCTGCAGTCGTTCGGATACAGAAGGTGCCGCAAGCCCTTGGCAATCTTTGTTGTCCGGCGTCCTTTGAGCGTATCGACATCGCGCTTTAACCAGGGTTGCCAAGCCTGGATAGCTTATTCGATTTAGGACGTACGCAGACGTTCAGCATCCTGAAGAAGATGGATGAATCTAAACTGTCGAGTACCCTTCGCAGGAGATCAACATACTGGTTGCCTATTGTTAAATCAGACTCGGATTGTCTGGAACAACAGCGGGATGATAGTTTTCTTATTCTCGGAATATCTACTCAAGTAGACATAACATGGTTTTCTACAGATTTGGTTAGGTGCGACTTTCCAATTGAACGTTCTTAAACACACAAGAATAGCTGCTGATGCAGGAAAGTCTGTTGTAAGTATATATCTTGAGATGCGTAAATGATTTCACCAAGTTTCAAAAGTTAGATTGAGAAACTTGTTACAATATGTTGGCAATTGTTTGTATCTACCGACCTCACCGAGCAACTCACCATGAAACCTAGTAGCTGATGGATGCTATCAACACAGTTTCAAGCACTACCTACAAGTCCAAACTTATGTGCGAACATTTCAATGCACCACCAGTTAACTGACGACTGCCTGGACCTACGGTCTAAACGGGACTAGACATAATGGTGTACTCTATCCACTTCAATGGCTGCAACAAATATGTCAGAGGGCCCAACAAAAATGCCACTACCCTAGAATTAGCATTCACCATCAGGATTCATTCTACTTGTGCATTCATTGACAGTCCACTACCGGGCTGTAACCACAACACGACGTTTTGTATCGTGAACATTGCACGAGCTAAGCCACTCAAGTACAAAGTTGCAAACCACTCATTAGATTCACCGAATGGACTGGAATGCATTTAAGGAACTTATCTGCACTATGAATTGGGATCCATCATTCTGAACCAACAACCCGACTATGGTTGCGTGGATTTGTCAGCGACATTGCTGCGTTACTGATGTACTGACACCTGTGGTAAGGAGCCGCACCTATAGGCAATGCGACAAACATAACTGAACCAGGCTGAAAGCGGCTTCCAGTTCCCGAATGACACATTTTTGCAGTAATTCCTTGTACGAGGATACTAGAAAGCATAAGGCATTAGTACTGCGAAACAACGACCTACCGGTCACATTACCGGAAAAGAAAAATGGTCCCAAGATTCTTTGGCCAGTCAACCCAGCCTATACCACGAACATTGCACCATGTTGTATACGTGAAGCGCTGCATCGGCGTGGATTACAGGTTGCCCAAAAGTGTTGCTTCTCTGCACCGTGCAAACAGAAACCAGCCTCATCTGTAAAAGGATTTGGGTGAATGTCCATGGCATTCAAAAACCTGCGGCAAAATCAAGCCGCTTCTCCGAATCACATGGGTTTAAAACCTGCACTTTACGGGCGCTATACTTCCGGAAGTCCCTTTCCTTCAAATTCATATGGACAGCATATCTGGTGGTGTCACAATGCTGGGCGTTTACGAATTCTCAGATCGCAGCTTCTGGCTATCTCACGAATAACCACACAAGCGGAAAAGCCATCCGTGGTGATGCGAGACAACCTTGTCTTTTTGTCGTCGCAAACAATCCGTTTTTTTCAAATTTCCTCACTTGCACTCACCATACAGACGAAAAATAAGCACTCGCTGATTAACAGACACGTAACACGATTCGGATTAAGGGTAACTTGGTGACGGCGGTATGTGCTCATGATCCATCGCCAAGTCAGTGATCCGATAAACAAATGGCAAGAATTTCATCACTTCGCCTAGTCCTGACCTGACTGCTGTGTGTGTGTGTATGTGACCAGCCTTGCCCTAAACTGGTGAGGTCAGCGCTCGTTGCCCTCACACTGACCTCCGTTAGTGGTTTACCTTTCAGTCCGCAGTCGTATCGGAGTCAGGTTATCGTGTACTTTGGATAATGAGTTCGGCTGAATCTCCGCGCCAGAGTGGCCGTCAGACGATGCAGTTTGCAGTCGAGTCTTTACTTCACATGCGACCCGACAAAAGGGGCAGAGAGACAACTGTGACACCCTACGCGCAGTCTCACGGACGCTTGCACTCCTACACAGCGTGCCGATTGCCTGTAGTTTGAAATTCCACATGGATAAGTCAAATGTACAATCAGAGTAATTTTAGTTATAACTTTACACAATAAACTCAGACGGGCAGTGGAAATTTCCAGATTGCTACATAGCCACTCGCAGAAGGGACTGCCTGAGCAGTGCTTTTATCTACGTGAGGACTATCTGTCCTCAGCCAGCTTTTTGCGAGACCAGGCAACCAAACCGACCCAATTGGTCTTATTTTGGTGTGATTGCACGCGATGCAGCGTCGGAGAGGAGCACCAGTGCGTACGGATCCCAGCGGGCTCGACACCGTGCCCCACGGTGTCGAAACGGAAACAATGTTTGAGAGAACCTTAGTAACAGTAGTTTCCATTTGGAGCAACTTGGCTTAGCTAAGGTTACGGAGTTGGCCGTGTTGACACAGCCTAAAGTGTTTGCTGCACCAGAGAGTCAGAGTCGTCAAGAAATTGTGGTTTGAGTCGGCCAATATTGATCGCTTCCGTTTTACTATTTTGATCGATACTAAAAGTTTTCAGTTCTAAGTACGATACGATACGGGCCAGAATAGGGAGGTTGAAGTGGCCGACGTATGCTCTCTGTGCAAATCAACACTTAGGTGCAAGCGACTATGCGTTTGTCCACGCTGGCGCGCAATCTCTGTGCTCTGATTTCCATGGCTGAAGCTGTCGCGTGTGCTTGAGCAGAAGAGCGACTTTGTTGCCATAGTCGAAACCTTTTAGAGGTTGTGATGAGACAAGTTCATCAGAAAAACGTTGAGTGAAGCAAAAAAGTGGTGGGTGAAATGGCGTGCAAATTCGCTTCAATCGCGTTTTTTGTGTTTAGGAGAAATAGTGGAAGAGTTTGGTACAAGGCTGTACTAGTGGACAAAAAGTGATGCTTTGAGTTACCGGTGGAGCAGTTCTGCAACCCCGTTAACTGCGTGGTGGTGGTATGCGGTGGTTTTGTTGTGCTGACAATCTAGTACGTTGAGGAGTTTGCTAAATGACCCGTGTAAATGTGATCTTCGGTCGATAGTGACAAGAGCTAGGCAATTAAAATGAGCCATCCAGCGTTCTAAAAAGCATGTTCGATTGCCTTAGACAAGCAGCCAACAATTAGGACAGTATCTAGCCAACGTGTAAATCTGTCGTCACAGTTCAGGAGATACACGTGCCCTTCGCATGATGGCAATGGTCCTACCAGGTTGACGCAAACATGTTAGAAACGAGAGTCAAGAGGATGAAAAATGCCAAGCGGCCTTTTGATGTGATTGTGAACCTTAGTGTATCGCTGCCCCAAGCATGCACGTGCCCAAATGCGGACATCACAGATTAGTACAGCAGATGATCAATCCACCGTTCTTGTCCTCGAGGTGGAAAGTAGGAAACAACAGGGGAGTAGAACACAAAACAACAATTATCCGTCGTCCTAGTTTGTCTCAATAAACGCATTGCAACCAATTATTCCCTTTCCAAAGCAGACTGGTACGGCGTTCCGCCTGGAGTGGCCTTCTCGTTTCCAGTGGTCAGGCGGCCCACGTTATGCTGGTCAGTGGTGCAGGATGTGGAGATAAGCCCACAAGCACAATCGGAGATCGAAGCATGTGTCAGGGTGAGTTGGAACAGCTCAACAAATGTGCACCATGAACAAACATGCGTATTCCATTTCATTGTTTATGATATAAAATTTCTTCGATGCCAAATAATGGTCATGTTAAAAGATCGAGATCCCGCCGTCATATGTAAGTACAGACGAGTAAAAAGTAAAACAAGCGGACGGGACGGAACAATTTATCTACAACCTGACAAAACCGCTGATCGCGCGAACAAACCAAGCGTGCAGATGACATCACATTGTGTTGATAAGCACCACACACTGTAACGTCGCTTCAAAAACAACTGGGTGGCGCCCGCGATGATACAAACCAGTGGAAAGGTTTCTTTCGCTTGTAATGTGCATCGATTACGATCGCAACATGCAATGAAAATAATACGGATTCCAGAATAAACTTCTATTGTATTTGTTTTCAAACATATTGGCTCGCAACGATTGCTAGGTGGATCCCTCGTACAGTTTAGATCCGCCCGACAAGCGCCCATCATCTGTTACGCCTGCAGAATTTGTTACATTCAACAACGACTGCAGTGCATGCCAACAATCATTTCAATAAACAAAACGAATGAAGTGCAGACGGACACTATCTCTCCGCATGTAAGATATAAACAGTGACAGGTGGAACATAAGTGATTCGATGGGATGCATAGTTAGTTCAGGGAATTATCCCTGGTCAAGCCTTGTGCATGTGATTCAGCCCCTCGCCCTGGTAAATTTGGTCACCAGAGTATACATACTTTGGAAAATTTAATGACAGTAAAAGCAAGGTTAGGCATGGGGAATAAAACAATTCACCGTAATGCGCTGTGTGGACACCAATCGCTAATAGACTCATATGTTCAATGTTATCGTAAAGCAGACGGCGAATATGGTACGGCATATCTTCATGTGGCAAATCCAATTGCCAAACTGGACATTGAGTCCCTACAGTCTCTGGAACTTATGGATGCTCGCCGACATATCCCGACTGGAAGCGAATACAATGAGGTTCGCAAAAATTTCAGGGCAAAACTACGTGCTAGTCTGAAGAAAGACCACGAAGCATGGTGGTCTCATCGTGCCTCGGAGTTGGAAACAGCCGCTACCGTTGGTACTCATCGTAAGTTATTCCGTTTGATCCTGGAAACATGAGAGCTGGTGGTAGCAAGACCATACGCGATGAGAGTGGACAGCTGATTCACAGCCTGTCACAAAAAGCTTGGAGCGTTGCGCTGAACACTTTGCTAGGCAATTTAACCAACCTGTTATCTTTCGCGGGCATTGAGCGCCCTTCTCTCTGGGCCATCTCCTTGGATCCGCCCTCACGCACAGAAGTTGAACGTGAGATAAGGCTGTTGAAATTGCAGGGCAGATAGAATTCCGCAGCCCTCTTCAAATTCGGAGGGACCTGCTCTAGTAGATGATTTACACGAGTTGCTAATGAAACTTTAGGAGTAGAAGACTGTCCCGACAGACTGGAACGGCTCCGTCCCAGTCCAAATTTTAAGGAAGGCTTCCGTTCAGAATGTGGCAATCATAGAGGGATCAGTCTGATCTCAATTGCCTCTAAATTGCTTGCCTCTCTCATTCTCCACAGACGGACTGGCACTCGTGAAAGCCAGATTGGTGAAGAGCAAATCGGGTTTCGTCGAGGTCGGAGCTGCATCGACCACATCTTCACCTTGCGTCAATTGTTGGAGCACCGCCATGTTTATTGGCGACCCACCGTTGTGTTGTTTCTTGACATAAAAGGTGCCTTCGACTCAGTCGATCGAAATGCCCTTTGGGACTGTCTACTGAGGAAAGATGTGCCTGATAAATACGTGAACATTATCAAAGCGCTGTAGGAGCATATTTCGGGCAGTGAGGGTTTATGGTAGACTGTCGCCACCCTTCAGTATCACAAGCGGTGTGAGATAAGGTTACCTGCGGTCACCTTTCCTCTTCAACTTCGCTATTGATGAAGTCATGGAAACAGCGTTCGCTAGACACGACCTGGAGCTACTTCCTGGTGAGCGACTTCTTGACTTGAAGTACGCGGACGATATTGCCCTAATCTGTGACAGCTCCCAAACATGTCTAGCAGCACTGGCTGTCCATCGTTTCTGGCTATGCTTTGCGCCATCCAAGTGCAAAGCTTGCCTTTAAGATTGACAGGGACCTACCCCTGCGCTAACGCTTTGTGGTGATCAGCTAGAAGTCGTTCAGGAATTCAAGTATCTAGGCGGCTATATTAGCGCCCGTGGGATCGAAGATGAGGTTACGAAACGTATAGCAAAAGTTCGAGGTGCTTTTGCTAATCTCCGCCACCTGTAACGTTTTGAGCTTGTCCGGCTTCATGGACTCGATCGATTCTAAAAAATTGTTGAAAGTGTAGATCCAATGGGCCCAGCGTTTGCCGGCGTCAGAAGATTGAGGATCCACATCAAAGCGATCTGGGCGTAAGATTCGATCCATGAGATTGCTGTATTAATCGAGTAAATTGTAATGAACACGGATTATTCCAGGAATGAAGGAAGAAGACAAAAGCCGATAAGGAGGCTTTACTCGATTAATAATTCGGACGTATGAGCTATAAAAACAGAAACATGTATTAGAACGGTAAATATGCCAAAGCATGGAATACGGCAAAATCAAAAACACATAACAAGTATTATTCACGTACGGGGGATAGTCTGCGAAACAGAATGGATGCCAATAGCTTAGAGGCAAACAAAATAAGACTAATCACGCGATGATTTACACATGAAGTGCGAGCGCCTTTCTTGAAAATCAGGACAATAACTGATTCGCCCCAAGAGGAAGACACTTTCGCTTCATGACAGACTTTTGTGAACAGCGAGGTCAGGTGGTTAATGATCACCACCGCCGTACTTGAACAGTTCCGGAGGAAGTCCGTCTGAGTCAGTAGCCTTGAACCGCTTCAAGCGTCGAATCTCGAGGCAGACTTCGCTGGGTTGATTCAGTGGAACGAGCCAGGGGGAAAAAGTGTACTGCATGTACTGATGGACGGTTGAGGCCAGTAGAACTGCGAGTGAAAGTGCTTGGCCTAACGGTCCATACGACTCTGTTGGTTGGTGAGCGGAGACTCAACCACCTTGTAAATAACCTCACTGACACCAGGCTTCCTGAGGCCAGTGGGGCGAATGAGTTGGAAAAGCCTGAGGCAGCGGTCTCCATCTCTAAAGTACGCCCAGACCTTCATGTCTCGCGATGCTTGCGTAGGCTTTGCTTGAGCAGCAGGTTGGCAGAACCGTGCCGTTCGTTGCAATCTGATTCCGCGGGGATATCTTTACGGCGTTCGAACAGCTCCAGAGAACTAGCAGAGATCCAAGCCTTTAAAGTGCGTCGAGCTAGGCCGCAGCTTGACTGTCCGGAAATGGTCACTGTCTTCCGTACACAAGTTCAGTTTTGCTCCACGTCTTGCGGTCGATTGCAACTGAGTGCATATGCCAGTAAAGATTGATAGCTCGCCTGGAGAGAGGAATCAGTTAATCCGTTTACATCAATCTTGTGGTGCTTCATGTTTCGAGACCCCCAAAACAAATACAGATTTTCGTGTAGAACAGTGCCTGATCTAGGTGAACGAAGGTAGATCGAAAGGTCCTGCAGTCCAGTACACTGCCGCGCTATCTGAAGCTAATTGCAATGTGATCAATTTGAGACCACGGTTGTGTTGGCGAAGGGAGACACCACGTTGCGGAACGCTTCTTCGTACGCCTGAAGTTAGTGCACAAGAGAAACAGGTGATTGTCTTCGCACAATGTGATAAGCCTCTCTCCGTTAACAGAACGGTTCTCATCGAGCGCGTGATCACCAAGGTGGCGTTCGTATGGTAACAGGTGGCCAACCCGTGCACTAAAATCCCAAGCAAGGATAAAGACATCCGACTTTTTAGCATTAGCCAAGAGCTGATGTAGATCCCGGTAGAATTCGTCCTTGACCGAGTCGCCACTGCAGTCAGCTGGAGTGCACACGGAGATCACAAACAAGTTACGTCTCACTTCGCGGTGTCTGTTGATTCTACATGAACCTCGAAGCCGAACTGCACATAGTCGGCCGTCAATCGGGAACCAGTCCAGTAGTGCCGTCTCAGCCTTTCCACTTAGTGCTATACCTATGCCAGCCAAACCCACTGAGGCTGCATCTGGATCTCCAGAAAGACGCAGGTGATATCTGGCTTCGTAGTCAGTGAAGGATGTCAATGTAAACACAGTGCTGGGGTTTTGCAAGCAGGTTTCTGAATGGCAGCAGACATCAATATCGAGGGACTCTAAGGTGCGCGCTAGACCGGCTTTGCTGTCCAATCTGCATGAGTGTCCGAACGTTGAAGCACGCCAGACGGAACGAGGATCGGTGACGAAGGAGAGCCATAGCTTGAACTCCGTGGTTCGTGGCACAACCAGAATCGCATCCAGATTGTTGCATACATGAATTGGGCAACGGAAAGTAAGGATTGTTAGCAAACAAACAATTGGTGTGTGATGAAGTCGCGTGAATGTGAGAAGCAAAAACGGTAGCTCATGAGTACGTAGTAGTACAGCCCATGGTTTTGTGAGAGGACGTGATGATACCTGGTTGCCCAAGCCGAATTAGGGAGTTGACTTAGGGGACTCCACCTCGGGACTTTGGCTAAATAACCCGCAAGGCAACGGGGCGAATTTAGGGAATAGCGCCCATTGGGAGGTGCTGACTGAATGATCAGTTCATGCGTTTTTGTTTGATAGATCACCAAACAGGGGCCCAATACGCCCCACGAAATCAGTACAACTGCTGGAATACAGTGCCCCACCGAACACTGCTGGAACGGGGTACACCCGAACCACCCAGCTGGCACCACGAGAAGGATGTTCAAGAAGCTAGCCTTGCAAATGTGTAAATGACCTTACACCATAAATACCTCAACGATTAGGCTTCCAAACTCAGAACAGTTACAATGAAAATCGTTCGGTCCGGGTCAACAAGTACTGCTTCAAAGCGTTCACGGTACGGAGTCACGGCACTAAGGTACACCGTGT